TTCAAGTGTTGCCATTGTGTTAGAGAGAGTAAATGAGTAAATGTCATGAATAAATTTGACATTAAACATAATCCAAGTTGAAGTTTTACATCATTTTAAGCCCTCTGTTTGGCATCTGCATTTGGTAGCAGGCCAAACTGATAAAGACCATGCAAAATAATGTAGTATTTTAATTCCACAGCAGAGAAAGCTATGTAGTCTCTAAGTATTTCTAGAGACAGAAATATCAGTATTGGTATCAATTATCGACCAAATAAGTTTTAACATATTGGCATGGTGGATATCGGCCAAAAATCCAATATTGTGTGTCCCTAATATTTACTGTAGTTTAGGCTGCTAAATAAAAATCTCAACACCATATATTCACATCTATTGTTTCAGTATAAATATTTCTGTTCTTATCTCCTAACATGAAACTTAAAAATGCTATAGTGTCAAAAATGCAAAACTTACCTTATATTATAGTCACCAAGCTAAATGCATGCACAATCTGTTTCACCAAAGGTCATGAGAGAACACAATTTCAAAATGACACTGTGGGAACTTTCAGTAACGGCTTTATTAAATTAGTGCAAAAGACAGACATAACTCATTCAAAATGTCATTTTTTTGTTTACGTTGGTCTTCCAAACGAGCCCATACACACTAAGTTCTTCTGATGAGCGCAAGAGAAAAAAGGCAAAACTATCCACCAAAATCACAGTCTTTTTTTTTTTTTGTCTTCTTACACAACTTCTTGTGACTTTTAATGAAGGATGGACAGAGAACGGGGGAGGCAGAACTGACCGGAGAGAGAAAAATCAAACCTAAATACAAAAACAGTGAACAAAACAGCACTCCTGATTGTGCAATTAAACACAGAAAAAAAAGGGATAAACAAGCACAACAAAACCCAAAAGTTGTTACATTAAAATAAAGAACACATCAGAAACCTCAGAAATTATACCTAAATTCACATAAAAAAGTGTTTTTCCTCATTTTAATTTTATTTACTGTGTGGGAGATCAAATAACTTGCAATTAAAGTACATAAGTTAATCAATACTGTATATTTATACAATGGTAAAAAATAAAATATTTATATAATAGTACTTTTTTAAGTTTTACACCATTACTGCAAAGATATACTGTTTTCCACTCCATGACAAATAATGCAATGAAAACTGAAGCAAATCGAAGAGACAACTCCAGAGGGTTTCTTCCTTTGACGGCTTATGGCTACAACCTTGTCCTAAAAGACCACAAGCACTGCTTACAAAGAAAACGGGCTTTGTTCTCTCGGCTTAAAGAGGGGAAACAAGATCAAACACGGTCTGGAACAAGAACGCAAAAGAACACGTCAAAAAGTCAATGCTCTTCACTGAGCAGGGGCAGCAGCTCAGCCTTCGCAGTTTTACCCGGCTCGGTGGGAGACGGAGAGGTCAGCAGATGGACAGGTGAGGAAAGATTTAATGTGTATGCATGAAGTCGGAGAAGGAACGGGGTGGGGGCATTGCTAGATTAAAAGATGGTGCTATGAGTGAAGAGGGGAAGAAGGAACATGTTATAACTTCCAGTTGAACTACGGAGGTTTATGCTGTGGAAATATGAAATACAATTCTAGCATCACTTTTTTTTTTACAATATCAATATACATGTTGTTTCAAGTATCTCCTACAGTGGCATACTGCCATTAATACTGCTAACATCCAGTATATGCCTGTCAGTGCAACAGAGAGGCTCCAAAATCAAACAAATACTGAAAGAAAGAAAAAAAGAATAATGATCAAAGTTGGATGAACTGAGAGGAGAGAACAAGAACAAGTGTGAGAAAAAAAAAATCAGATGAAAACGACTGAGGTAGAAAAGGACAGATGTAACAAGGAAAGGAAAGATGAAGAAGAGGAATCGAGAGCTGCGACAGGATAAGTGAAAAGTCGTTAAAAAACACATTGTGTTGTTGCACAGCAGTTGTGCCGGGGGGGGGGGGGGGGGGGGGGGGATTTTGTGTATTTGCTTGTTTGATTGGTCAAGGGGAGAAGATTTCTTTTTCGCTGCGTCTTCTTTTTCTTCTCTCCTAAGCCCGGGTCACGCAGGGAAGGTAAGTTGTTGATTTTCAGTGTTGCAAAAAGGGCTATGAGAGAATTTAGCTGAATCTACAGGCCTGGTGGAAGAAGAAAAGAACAGGACAGGAAGAGGGCGTGAGCGAGAGGTGGAGGGGATAAGAAAGATGGAGAGAGAGGGAGACAGTGTGGAAAAGAAAGAAAAAAATCAGTGTCATCATTGAAACAGATCAAGTGGAATCACTTAAACAAGACACGAAGGAATCAAATTACAATAGTCCCTCTCTTATCACGGGGGTTATGTTCCAGACAACCCCGTGATAGGTGAAAATCCACAAAGTAGGAATATATATATATATATATATATATATATATATATATATATATATATA